CCTATACAGTAATAGATAACGTCTTCAGTGAAATATTAACTCACATAATAATTAATCTTCTGTGAAGTATTAATGTACATAATAAGTAGTCTTCTGTAAATTATTAAGATAGTTAATAGTTAAAGTATTTTATAAACTATTGATATACATAATAAGTAAAGTCTTCTGAGAACTATTAATATACATAATAAGTAAAGTCTTCTCTAGACTATTAACATATATTGTTACTCTCTACTGAGTATCTGAACTAAGAAAAAACTCACATCTACATTTAGTACAAAGGTGTAGTATTTAACCCTCATATTGCCATCTTGTTTCTATATCATTCACCGCCGATCAGGCCTACTTCTTACACAATAATCAGAAAATTTTGCCCGTTGTAAAACTCAGCATAACGAACTAATCAAAACAGAAATTCGGTGCATTTTCCATGTGAACGGCATAGGTGACTCCAGCAGCACTGATATTGGTGAATGTTTTTGTAACCAATGTTTTTGGTAGATAAGTAGTTTAGAAAATGTGTTTAGAAATCAGGTGGGTTCCAGTGACCCCGTTGCTTACATTCCTTTCGTGTGCGCTTGGACTTTTAGCATTACGTACGTTTTCAATCACCTTTTAACTCTTCTTTATGTCAGTCACACTTCAACTTCTCCTTATTTTTTCAGTCACATTTATCTGTTCTTTTTGTTTAGTCGCCCTCCCCCCCTCTAGTAGCACAGTAGTAAGTCTGCGGACTTATAACGCTAAAACCGGGTTTCGATACCCGTGGTGGACACAGCACAGACAGCCTATTCTCTAGCTTTGCTATTAAAAATAAACAGGCATAGTTCTTTAGTCACACTTTATTTCTTTTTTTTGTTTTTAGTCACACTTTATCTCCTTTTTCTGTGTTTTCAGTCACATTTTAACTTTTATTTATGTCAGCCACACTTTAACTTTTATTAATGTCAGCCACGTTTTAACTCCTCTTACCCTGCTTTCAGTCACACTTTAACATTTATTTATACCAATCACGTTTTAACTCCTCTTACCCTATTTTCAGTCACACTTTTACATTTATTTATACCAGTCACGTTTTAACTCCTCTTACCCTGTTTTCAGTCCTCTTACCCT